GGAAGACATACAAGACCTCTGATAATCTCCCTCAATCTGGGGCTTCACGCAAGATCTCACCCCGTGGGGTCAAAATGATCACAAAGAACAGTGAGCAAAAATCCCAGGAGCACACAGGGGGACCTAGTGAATGACCTGCAGAGAGCTGCGACAAACGTAACAAAGGCTACCATCAGTAACACACTACGCCGCCAGGGACTCAGATCCTGCAGTGCCAGACGTGTCCCCCTGCTTAAGCCAGTACATGTCCGGGCCCGTCTGAAGTTTGCTAGAGAGCATTTGAATGATCCAGGAGAGGATTGGGAGAATGTCATATGGTCAGATGAAACCAAAATAGAACTCGTTGTGTTTGGAGGAGAGAGAATGCCGAGTTGCATCCAAAGAACACCATACCTACTGTGAAACATGGGGGTGGCAACATCATGCTTTGGGGCTGTTTCTCCGCAAAGGGACCAGGACGACTGATCCATGTACAGGACAGAATGAATGGGGCCATGTATCGTGAGATTTTGAGTGCAAACCTCCTTCCATCAGCAAGGACATTGAAGATGAAACGTGGCTGGGTCTTCCAACATGACAGTGATCCCAAACATACCGCCCGGGCAACAAAGGAGTGGCTTCGTAAGAAGCATTTCAAGGTCCTGGAGTGGCCTTGCCATACCCCATAGAAAACCTTTGGAGGGAGTTGAAAGTCCGTGTTGCCCAGCGACAGCCCCAAAACATCACTGCTCTAGAGGAGATCTGCATGGAGGAATGGGCCAACATACCAGCAACAGTGTGTGCCAACCTTGTGAAGACTTACAGGAAACGTTTGACCTCTGTCATTGCCAACAAAGGATATATAACAAAGTATTGAGATGAACTTTTGATATTGACCAAATACTTATTTTCCACCATAATTTGCAAATAAATTCTTTCCAAATCAGCCAATGTGATTGTCTGGATTGTTTTTCTCATTTTGATCTCTCATAGTTGAGGTCTACCTATGATGCCAATTACAGGCCTCTCTCATCTTTTTAAGTGGGAGAACTTGCACAATTGGTGGCTGACTAAATACTTTTTTGCCCCACTGTATAGCTTTAGTTCTGCTTTAAGGTGCACACTGCTGCCTAAAAACATAGTGCTATCAGAGAAGTGAAAAAAATAAAAATAAAATGCCTGTATACCTAAATGCAGCTCTGTTTTCAATACACCTGTACACAAATGTGTAAACGTGCTGCATATAAACGAGCAAGAAAAAAAAAAATACAGAAATCTGGAGTTGCTGGTCAGTATTTTACGTGTGTAAAATGTAAACTTGAAGGTTAAAATTCTATTCTGAGAGCTAGAATTTATGTTGTGTATGCACAAAATTAACCACCTGAGCTCCGGAGGATTTGATAAACAGCGACTTTCTAATGGAACTGTGATACGGCAATCTAATAACTGATACTGAAGGGAACTGACATCACCAGTGACATTAATACAGCAATATTGTACACTGTACTAATGACACTATCTGGGAAGGGGGTAATATCTAGGGTGATCAAGGGGTTAAACGTGTGCCTAACTATGTATAATGTGTGCTGCTTTTAATAATAGATTTCTAAGTTCTCATCCCTGCTTTGCTGGAATGAGAAACAGAAAGATCATTCACTCTGTACAGAGCTCTGCGCTGTGATTGTACACAGCCAATCAGCAGGTCCTGGCCGTGAATCATTGGCCAGGACTTGTTGAAAGGCTCCCACTGTGTACAATCACAACGGGTGCTGGCCGGGGGCGTGCATATGCACGCCCGAAACACTGAACTAGGCAGGTAGGACATATGAGTATGTTGCTTTGCTTACAGCAACCGCCTGTCTGCAATACCTCTCCACCTGCCCTCGCCGACTCTTCTCCACCTTCAACTCCCTGCTCTCCCCCCCCCCCCCCCTCCACTCAGTACCTCACTTACCGCCCACGAGATTGCCACTCATCTCCACAACAAGATTGACGCAATCCGCAAGGACATAGTAAACTTGCAATCTACCTCCCCATCTAGCCTCCCCCCTTCCATCACCCCCTCATCTCTCCCCTCCTCTGACCTCGCAACGGCACTGCCCCCCCCACCACACCCAAGGCCCTGCCTACCGTAACCCCCCCATCACTGCACTCCTTCAGCCCTACTACTCTGAGGAAGTCACCAGAGTCTTCTCAGAAGCCCACCTCACTACCTGCCCCCTGGACCCTATCCCCTCTCAACTCCTCCGGTCACACCCTCCCTTCCCTTACCCACATCTTCAATCTCTCCCTCTCTACTGGCGTCTTCCCCTCCCCCCTAAAACATGCGCGCACATCGCCCCCATACTCAAAAAGCCCTCCCTGGACCCCACTGACCTCAACAACCTCAGACCAATTTCCCTGCTGCCACTCACGTCAAGCTCGAGCGCTTGGTCTACGATCGCCTAAGCGCCCACCTAACTGACAACAACCTCCTTGACCCACTACAGTCCGGCTTCCGTCCCCTACACTCCACCGAAACTGCCCTCCTCAAAATCACCAACGATCTACTAACCGCCAAAGCCAAAGGCGACTACTCTGTCCTCCTTCTCCTAGACCTCTCCGCGGCCTTTGACACAGTCGACCACCCCCTCCTCCTTAATAAACTACTCTCTCTTGGCATCAGAGACACCGCTCTCTTCTGGTTCTCGTCCTATCTATCCCAACGCTCCTTCAGCGTTTCCTACAACGGCGCCACCGCCACCTCCTCTTCCCTCCCCCTCTCTGTTGGGGTCCCCCAGGGCTCTGTCCTTGGACCCCTTCTCTTCTCCATCTACACCTCCTCCCTTGGCAAACTCATACACTCCCACGGCTTCAACTACCACCTCTACGCTGATGATACTCAAATCTACCTATCCACCCCTCACCTCACCCCCACATTCTCCGCCCGCATCACTCACCTCTTAAACGACATCTCTGACTGGATGTCGCTCCATTTCCTCAAGCTCAACCTCTCCAAAACGAGCTTCTCGTCTTTCCCCCTTCCCCCCCCGTGCCCCCCCATCCTTTCCATCACTACCAACAACACCACCATCAATCCCGCCCAGCAAGCCAAGGTCCTTGGCGTCATTCTGGACTCAAACCTTTCCTTTCAACCTCATGTCAAATCACTTACAAATACATGCAGGCTCCACCTCCGGAACATCGCCAAGATACGCTCCTTCCTTACCCCAGACACCACCAAACTACTCGTACACTCCCTGATTATCTCACGCCTTGACTACTGCAACTCCCTCCTCACCGGCCTTCCCCAGTGCAAACTCTCCCCGCTTCAGACCATCCTGAACTCAGCTGCCAGACTCATCCACCTCACCAGCCGCTCTACCTCTGCCACCCCCCTCTGCCTCTCCCTCCACTGGCTCCCCATTGCCCAACGCATTAAATTCAAACTGCTCACTCTGACCTATAAGGCCATTCACAACACTGCCCCTAACTACCTCACCGACCTGATTCCCAGGTACCACCCTACCCGTACCCTTCGCTCTTCACAGGACCTCCTATCTTGCTCCCTGGTCTCCTCCTCCCACGCACGACTGCAAGACTTCTCCAGGTCCCCCCCATCCTCTGGAACTCACTACCCCAATCCATCAGACTGTCGCCTTCCCTCCTCACCTTCAGGCGCTCCCTGAAAACCCACCTCTTCAGGGAAGCCTACCCCACCCTCACCTAACAGCCGCTGCCCTTCCCTCCTCCTACCACTCCATCCTGTACCTCTACCCCCTCCCTCCTAGATTGTAAGCTCGAAAGAGTAGGGCCCTCTTACCCCTTGTGTGCTGTTTGATGTTACTGTACTGTTTCATGTATTGTCCCCCCCTCTATTGTACAGCGCTGAGCAAACCCTTTGGCGCTATATAAACTCGATAAATAAATAAATACATTGCAGGCAAGCGGGAAGTGGTTAAAGCAAAAGATTGGGGCCAGAAATACTGATGCTCAAGTATCGGTATCAAGTGAAAGTACCCTAAATGTGTTGGCTTCATCATTTTTTTTTTAAAGCTTTTTTTTCCCCATTTTATTTTCACCTGACATCCTGGCCAGTAAGTTTTGTTTTTCAGTTTCCTTTACAGACAAAGCAGTCCAGTAAAGGTGGCAGTTAGAGGGTTGAGATAAACCATTTAACACTGACATTCTGTAATTATGTAAAGCCTTTATCCCAATAAGAAAAAAAAAAAAGCATTGCTGTAACTGCTTAAAGCAGAACGGAAGATTTTTAAAAACAGACTACAAGCAGGTTGGGTATTATCACAGGAGACATGCAATATAATACGCCTACCTGTCTGCTTGCAGTCTTGTGTGGGGCATGTAACTTAGCTGTTCATACACAGCACAGCTTACATCACGACACTCCCTGCTGCGTGTGCTGCGATGACTGACACCTGTGCATGCACAGACCATAGATGATGGAGACTGGTGCTTGTGATTTAATTTTGATCCATATAAGTGCTGCTAGATCTTCAGAGATCACACTGAAATGGAGCACTACATTTTTATTAACCATTTATTGGACAGTCTTTGGTTACTTTTCGTCATATGTCAGCAATGTGGATATGTTTTAATCACTTCTTTGTGCAACACTGAAACATTCTGTGTATGTGTTCTACACATTATCTGTCACTTATCAAATTATTTAGATATGCACGGTGGATTTGTGACCCACTTTCTCCTCTTTTTGATTCTAAACCCTTAACCAGAATCCGTAGCACTTTACCCCCCCCCCCCCCCCCCCCATGTATCCTCCACTGGAGTAATATATACATCCACCCCCTTGACATGCAGTTATCACTATCGTTATGTATTTTGCTCGGATGTCTCTATGCAATTGATGGATACTGCTTACACTTCCCTGCTTGTGTCACCCTCTTGACACTTTGGGGTCAATCCACTAAAGGTTACCGCAGGGCTTAAAATTTCAAGTCCTGAGCTACTAGCCAGGCCTTAGAGTTACTCGCCACCAACAAACACACACAAACAGACACCAACACACACACAGACATGTACACACACACAGACACATGAACACACACACGCACAGAGACACATGTACACACACACAGGCACATACACAGAAATACACACGCACAGACACATGTACGTACATACACACACACACACATGTACAATTGTACATGCATACACAGACACACACACCACCCCCCCTCCCCATAAAAAGTTGCAGTACTTCATTGTTCACTCACAGAGCTGGGTACTGCACTCTAGGGGGAGGCAGAGAGCACAGCACACACTCTTTCCTTTGCTTTCACTGCGCTCAGCTATTGAGCAGTCTGACGGCTCCCAGTGCGAATGACAGAACCGGCCTGAGCTCCGAGCCTGCTCAGCAAGACGGCCCTGGGGGACACACTCGCCCCCACTATAATTTCCACTCGCCATTGGCGAGCGAGAAATTTCTAGCCTTGGGTTACCGAATGCGATAACATGGTCACGTGACTCATTTGCATAAATTATTGCATGAGCCAATAAAAGAGTCAATTCATCAAAGTAAAATATCGAATGTGAGGTAAATAACACACATTTGTTAAAATAGTGAGATAAATACCGCAAAAAAAAAAAAAAAAAATTAGATAAATCATTAAAGTCAATTCATTAAAAAACATGCATTCGTTATTTATCAACTGGTGTATGCTGGCAGTATTTTAGAAATGTACAAAGTAACAATTAGAGGAACTCTGCACTGGCTAGAAAGGGAAAAGTATACAATGTGTCAGTGTAAAAATGTTCTCCTCTGAGCTCAGGATCAGAGAGAGATCATTTAGTGAATGAAAGCACACGACAATGTTTTCATAGTTTCACAGTATTGCTGTGTGCCTTCTGGCGCAATGTTAGCCTGCAAAAAAAAAATAAAAAAGTGAAAAAACAATACCAAAAATAATGCAAATCTTAAGTGCTAAATATCGCAAAACATAATATTTAACGCATTCAGAAAATAACACTTTTTTTTAGTAAATTTACTACTTTTTAAATAAATACCGCACAAGTTATTTTAACTCAAAAATTCATGCTGTATTTATTTCTTAGTGAATTTTCCCCTTCATTCCATGCAACTTCAAAACCCCAATAAAAACCTTGTGAATCAAATATGGTCAAAGCTTCTTTGGGCATACTTCTCTTTAAGGTCACAGGAGTGCACTTACTTTTGCTCTTCTGTAACACAGCAAGCGATTGCCCGCTATTAGCTGACATAGCAGTGCTGCTCCAGGGTCAGAAAGGATCCCGACCATATTGTCAGGACCCACCAAGATGCCTGAAAGACAGGTGGTTCCACCTCTCAGCATGTGGATGAGGGTTGAAGCCCAGCACTCAGGATAGAGTGGTGACTGACAGTCACTGCTCTCTGCTCAGGGAAAATTGAGAACTGAGAGATCAGTGGTCATGTGATTCCTCAGTTCTCAATCTTAGAGGCAATGAGGGACAGCTGCAGCACTGAGCATGTGGGTTTATTAAGTTTTTTTTTTTAATATGGGGCAACACAGCGGCTAAGCACTTAGTACTTCCGCCTGGCAGCACTAGGGTTGTCGCTTAGAAAATCAACGACATCACCTGCATGGAGTTTGGATATTCTCCCTGTGCCTGCGTGGGTTTCCTCCGGGTACTCCGGTTTCCACCCACCTCCAAAGACATGCTGATCGGTTAATTGGATCCTGTCTAAATCGGCCCTAGTATGTGTATGTATGAATGTGAGGTAGGGACCTTAGATTGTATACCCCTTGAGGGTTAGGGACTGATGTGAATGTACAATATATATATGTAAAGTGCTGTATGATTTGTCAGCACTATATGAGGATCAGAAATAAATACAAGGGGTCTTCACAAAATTTTCACACTTATTCTTACTAAAGTGAATAGAGTTTTAAAAAGTGCAGAAACTTTTTAAAGACCCTCATAATACCCCAAACATCTCCATTGTTAGTCAAATCCATCTAAATCTGTTAGTCTAACACTACCCTTTCTCCAGACTGCCAATGCTGCTGTCCAAGGGTGTCTCCATTGCTCCTCCAACCAGAGTGGGGAACATCCTATACCATGAAGTGTGTTACTGGCCGCATCACCAGGTGGGAAAAACATAAGCGGGGGGGTGGGGCTAAAGTTCCTGTATAAGGCACCTATACACCATTTCTACAGTCTGACAGATTTAAATGGTCTGTGATCTCCATATAGTCACCCTCTAATAATCTATATTCCAAGGGATCACTGAGCACCCCTGAGAACAGGCTGGTGCTGGGTGTCATCAGGGGGCACATAACACACCAACCTCTCTGAGAGGGCTTGTGTCTATGGACTCTTCCCTCATATTGCACCCCCCTCCATTACTTCTCTCCCACATTCTTTTTGCCCCCCCCCATTACCCCTCCCCCACATGCTTATTGCGACCCCCAAATATTCCTCCCCACATGCTTATTACACCCCCCCATTACTCCTCTCCTACATTTGCATTGCCCCCCCATTACTCTCCCACAGTCCTATTGCCCCCCACTACTCCTCTCCCACAATCCTACTGCCCTCCCTTCATTCCTCCCCCACATTCTTATTGTACCCCCCTCATTACACCTCCCCCACATTCGTATTGCCCCCCCACATTCTTATTGTACCCCCCTCATTACACCTCCCCCACATTCATACTGCCCCCCCTTCATTCCTCCCCCACATTCGTATTGCCCCCCCTCATTATGCCTCCCCACATTCGTATTGCCCCCCCCTCATTATGCCTCCCCCACATTCTTATTGCCCCCCCACACACACATTCACATTGCCCGCATTACTCCTGCCTCACATTGACATTGCCCCCCATTACTTCTCACCTACATTCATATTGCCCCCCCCCTCACATTCTTATTGTACCCCCCTCATTACACCTCCCCCACATTCATACTGCCCCCCCTTCATTCCTCCCCCACATTCGTATTGCCCCCCCCTCATTATGCCTCCCCACATTCGTATTGCCCCCCCTCATTATGCCTCCCCCACATTCTTATTGCCCCCCCACACACACATTCACATTGCCCGCATTACTCCTGCCTCACATTGACATTGCCCCCCATTACTTCTCCCCTACATTCATATTGCCCCCCCCCCCACATTTTATTGCCCCCCTTATTACACCTCCTCCATTCTTATCACCCCTCCCCCAATTAGACATTCCTCACCCCCCTCAATTACTCCTCCCCCACTTTGTTATTGCTGCCCCCATTATACATTCCTCACCCCCCTCAATTACTCCTCCCCCCATTGTTATCGTTCCCCCCTCATTACTCCTCCAACACATTGTTCTTGTCCCCTTCATTACCCCTCCCCCACACGGTTCTGTTCCCCGGCCAGCACCCCGGAGTGACAGATGGGGGAGGCGCACAGACAGCACAGTCCAGCCGGTCAGCTGAGCACTTCGTGACGTCACCGCCAACCGGGACACACACACACACATATATATAGGGGAGACCCGTGAGCCGGGCTATGTCACCCCCGCCTCCACTCACACACCGTCACATGGCACCCCATGGAAGGACATGCACACAGCTCACCTCACAACCACTACTCACCCCTTCGTCTCCGTTCTCTACCCGCCTCCCGACCTCGCACACTCCCGCCTCCCCTGCTCGACGTCACCGCGCAATGTGCTCTGAGCGCGCACGGTCGTACAGTCAGCAAACCGAACGAATGGAGCATGTGCACAACAGTTACCATGCAGCGCCATCTAGTGACTGGTATTGAAGCTGCATCGTCGAAGCAGATCTCCCAATAAAGCAAGTTGTTTTAACCTGGCTCCTCCCCCTCCCTCTTCTACAATTAGATTTGTATTTGGTCGCAAGGGTGTCCAACGGGTCACATGCAGCCCTAGATGGCCATGAATGCGGCCCAACACAAAATTGTAAACATACTTAAAAATGTTGCTTTTTTGAAAAAAAAAAAATTTCCTAAAAATGCATTTACACTTAACGAACACGTGGCCAAAGAAAAAATTTACAGTGTCTCTTTAAAGCGGAGTTCCAGCCAGAAAAAAAAAGCAGCTACAAAAACTGTAGCTGCTGACTTTAAAAATACAAACACTTACCTGTCCCTCGGTCCGGCGGTGTCCTCACCAGCGCTGTTTTCACTGGTCGTCTTCTCTCCCTGGCACTGGCATCTTCAGTGTGGGCACCCGGCTGTGACAGCTTGTGGCTTCACAGCCGGGTGCCCACTGCACATGTGCAAGAAGCGCTGCACTTTGTGAATGGCCCCGTGGTCTCCTGGGCCCTGTCACGTGTCCCAGAAGACTGCAGGGAGGGAGGACAGCTTCCGCTTATGATCGTTTAGGCAATCGCAGCGGAAGTGGGAGCGGGTATCTGTCGAATTTAGGTACCTGTTCCCAAAAGGTGCCAATCTTTAATGTTGAATGGGCAACAAAGCATTTAAGTGTAACTTCCCATTTTGGGTGGAACTCCGCTTTAATCAGTTTTATCTTCCCAAAGAACAATATCCCACTCTTCACACTCACACCTTATTCATGTCCTCAGTTTCCAGAAGCAACTATATTTGTGAGAAATTATTTTCAAGGATGAAGCACACAAAGGGCAAAAGTAGAATCTGATGAGCAGCTTGAAAATTCATTGAGAATTGCTACAACATTGCTCAAAAAAATGAAAGGAACACTTTGAAAACACATCAGATCTCAATGGGGAAAAATATCATGCTGGATATCTACATGATATGGACTGGGTAATGTGTTAGGAACGTAAGGATGCCCTATTGTTTGATGGAAATGAAAATGATCAACCTACAGAGGACTGAATTCAAAGACATCCCAAAAATCAAAGTGAAAAAATGATAAAGCAGGCTAGTCCATTTTGCTGAAACTTCATTGCAGCAACTCAAAATGGTACTCAGTAGTTTGTAAGGCCCCCACGTGCTTGTATGCATGCCTGACAACATGGGGCATGCTCCTAATGAGATGACGGATGGTGTCCTGGGGGATTTCCTCCCAGATATGGACCAGGGCATCACTGAGCTCCTGGACAGTCTGTGGTGCAACCTGGCGGTGTTGGATGGACCGAAACATGATATCCCAGAGGTGTTCTATTGGATTTAGGTTAGGAAAGCATAGGAGCCATTCAATAGTATAAATTCATTCATCCTCCAGAAACTGCCTGCATACTCTCACAACATGAGGCCGGACATTGTCGTGCACCAGGAGGAACCCAAGACCCACTGCACCAGTGTAAGGTCTGCCAATGGGTCCAAGGATTTTATCCCGATACCTATTGACAGTCAGTGTGCCATTGTCTAGCCTGTAGAGGTCAGTGTGTCACTCCATGGATATGCCTCCCCAGACCATCACTGACCCACCACCAAAACAGTCATGGTGAACGATGTTACAGGCATAATAATGTTCTCCACGGCTTCTCCAGACCCTTTCACGTCTGTCACA